ATTGGAACCAAACACTAACATGTTCCACATCGACGTTGCACACTCATTAGTGGGCATCCTCCTAACTCTACATTTTATACTGTAGCTTATCGATTTGCTTTGTCTCCCTTCACTCCATGTAGACGGATCGAGCATAATTTCAGATATAATATTATGCAAAACCAGGAAAGAACATTATGCCGAATATGGGAACACAGCGTTGCGTTATTTTCAACTTCAACCTGTTGTTCATGCATAATTTCAGGTTGATTTGATGGTCGGAACATGTCGATTAGGTGCATTATAATTCTCAGGCGGTCACTACCAAGAGATCACATGATCTTACCGGCCCGGAAAGCCTTAGATCTGTGACAGCAGTGAAAAATCAAAAAGAGTTCATCACAGAGATTACAAGCAAGGCCTTAAATCGAGACATCTACCTCCAGCTCCATAAAGTTTCCTCAGGTTAAGGAGGCTGATGTTCGTCTTCGACTTTAGCAGATCTGCCAAAGTCCCGGCGAGCGTCAGCATTAAGCCCATCGCCAAATACGGGACGGCTCCCAGCAGTCCTGTCTGAAAAGCAAGCAGTGGTTTAGGATATTCTTTGGAAGACTATGAATCCGTACCGTCTTCAGCTGAAACTGCAAGAACTGGTTCATGAACTTTGGCAAGTACGTGAGCATGGTGTAGAAACCCCAGTTCTGAGTAACGTGCAACACGACTATGGTCCAAACTGGAACTGACAGCAGAATCTTTATCCATGGAACCTCAGGTACCTGAAACATTCAATTGTACATGAAGAAATCTTTCATAAGCAAAGCTTTGATCATTTTAACAGTCATATATTACACACTGCTTTCGAATTTGGATTTGACAAAATAAAGGATATCATCGTCGCTCCGGACGTGAGGTTTACGATAAACGAATGCGTATGCCGGTTACATGCCACTTCAGCAGTCAACAGTCTAATTCATGAGGGCATCTCCGTAAATGGGTCGAGCATTGGGTCCTTTCCTCCTCTTTCGTCCTCCTGTATTTATATAAAGGAGTACCATTTTTGGGAACGAAACAAGTGGAATCAACTTAAAATATAGGGCTAAAAAAGTAATAAGATGTTCTTCGTGTGTATCTGTATAAATAGGATCTTGAGCCGTTTGTACAATCAGAACGTCTCTGGCTTGTGGTGGATGTTGTATTCGTGGCTATATAACACTTGCTATAAGGCACCCCCTCCCCCCGTTTGCTGCATCGCACATAAGGAACAATTTCATTTCGAAAAGAGATCTGTCTCTGTCTTGTTGCCCCGCGTTGCACGCTGGCCTCCTCGTCGAAGTCTGCAGTGTTTCGGCTCCCACGCGGAAAGCTGACGAGCTGGAGTAAGTCGTGTATGTTCAACCAGTTCGCAGAATAAAACCAACATCATTTCCTTATCCTGCACATCTGCTGAGATCACCTGTGCTGGAAAAGAATAGCGTCATTCATTGCGTTTCTGCGTGCAATCCAATCGCCGTTTTTGCTCCCTTATTACAATAACTGTTTCTATATCGTACAACAACACTTTCCTGACAGAGGCAAGGTACAAGCACATATTTGTGCAGAGTTATTAATTTCTCTGCCCAAGTATAGAGCAGGTATTCACAAGCATTCGAGGTTACGGGGATCCTCATATTTAACTCTGATCGAATGGTTGTTCCGTTACGTTGCATGTTGACGGCTCGGCCGACTTTTACCATGTTTCGATTTCTACACGAGAAGCTCATGAGCTGGAGTAAATAGTTCATGTTCAACCTGTTAGTCGAAGAGGGCTAACCTCCTTACCGTTGTCCCTTCATCTACGGTTCCCACCTGTGCCCGAAATAGGATGAGATCAGCGTATATTAGCACAATGCCATGAAAGATGAATGACACCTTTAAAGCGCAGCTCAGCTGATCATGTAAGCGTAAAACTCACTAACATCCATGTCAATAATTAGCAACTTCGACAAGTGCTCAACAGAGTTGTACATCGACGAGCTTACTTCCCGTTTACTGCCGCAGCCCTGCGTTCCTTCAGTTATGTAATCGAGTTCGTGTTCTGAGATTCTCGAATCTGCGTATGGAGAATCGGATATAGTGAAGAGCCAAATGAAAGCCCATACCATCGACAATCCTCCTAAAATACTACCATTAACTCGTAGCCAACGCGGTGTCTGGCCTACCGGCGAAGTAAAATATGGCCTCCCATCCGAACCACTCGGCCAGATACGTACTGAACGGAATGGCCATCGCTGTGCCGTAGTAGCAACCTTGAACAAGAATTCAAACATTTCATTTGGTGGAAAGATAGCCGTAAAGACAAACCAGAGAAAGAAAAGCCGACCAGCCTGGCTTTCTCCTTTGTAGGTGCCCACTGACTCCACAACGCTTGCATAGACGGGAAAGCTAGTCCCTGAAACAGCGTATGAAGCAGTTTGTTCCGTTGCAGCGCGATACTCACTTGACTGATACCTTGAAGCACTCTGATAGCGACCATCGTGTAAGCTCCCCAGTTCGCTGCAACGGGTGTCAGCAGCTGCAGAATCGAACATACGAGGGTGCCGTATCCGAGAGACCTACGTCCTCCGAATTTGCAAGAGACCCAGCCTAAATTGAGCGTCGTTTGAGTTTAAGTTATAACGATTCCTACATACATACATACATACATACATACATACATATACGCATACATACATGCATACATACATACATACATACATACATACATGCAAGCATACATAACATACATGCATACACACATACATACATACATACATACATACATACATACATACATACATACATACAT